AAGAAGAAGAAGAAGAAGAAGAAGAAGAAGAAGAAGAAGAAGAAGAACAGAAAGCAAAGAAACTAGAATAATAGGAATGTCTTCAGACACTTAGTGATGAAATGCTGAACTCTTAAAAATCCATGTCTTCATCCTGAGGGTGAAGTGGATAATTTACCCTGCTGCTGCAAGTGGCCTCCTGGGGTGTCAGCAATTAAGGATTAGAAGTGTGGCTCAAACAGTTCTGAACAGACTGGAGTGGGAGTACCATAATGCTAACTACAACGATTACACATCTATTAGGAATAGTGATTAAACATCTAATATGAGTCACACATGCATATTGATTTGAATGCAGAGAACACAACATTCTTTCACTAATTTTTAAATTAGTGTGTGTGGAAGTTTAAATAAGAACAGCTCCCACTGACTCATATATTTGAAGGATTCTTGATGGAACTTTTTGGGGAACATTAGGAGGTGTGACTGTGTTGGAGGAGGTGTGTCACTGAGGATATACTTTGAGATTTCAAAAGTGCATGGCAAAGCCAATTTCCCTCTTTTTGTCTTTTTTTACCTGCAAATTCTGATCCTGTAAGAGCTTAGCTACTGTGCCATGCCTCTCTACCTAACTCCCCAACATGATAATTATGGATTAACTCTTTGAAACTGAAAACAAGGCCCCAGGCAAATACTTTCTTTTAAAAGTTACCTGGATTATGGTTTTCCATCATAGCAATAGAACAGAAACTAAAATAGTATGCAAAGTAATGGCTTTCATTATGGAATTTTGATTCTATCCTTATTCATCTCCTTCCTTTATTATTCTTACCCAAACTTCCTGGTTCACTTCCTTTCTCCATTTATCCTCTAATTTTGTGTCACATGTATTCAATTACCCTTTGTAATTACCCTTAATTCAATTACCCTTGTCCCACTCTGTTCCCATCTCTTTCTCCCTACTACCTTGGCTTACACACACACACACACACACATACACACAAACACTTGGAGAAAACATTTCCTATTTATTTGTCTTTCTGAATATGGATACTCTGTTAAACATGATGATCTCCAGTTATATCATTTTTTTCTGAAAATGTCATGATTTAATTTTTCCTTACACTTGGATAAAATTCCACTATGTATAATTGATGTGGGATATTCTATAGGTTGTGAATATATATTGCTTTTATTGGTTGGTGTATAAAGCTGTATTGACCAATGGACAGAAAAAATAGAGCTAGGTGGGAAATCTGAACAAAGATGCAGAGAGAAGGAAGGCAAAGTCACATAGATACCATGCAGCTGCAGAAGGAGTAATGATTCAGGAGAAAAATTCTTTATCTGTCAATTATGTTTTAAATAAATGCTGATTGGTCAGTAGCCAGGCAGGAAGTATAGGCGGGACAACCAGACAGGAAGTAGAGGTGGGGCAATAAGAAGAGGAGAATTCTAGGAAGGAGGAAGATCATCCCCCCTCCACAGTCCCACCCAGACCACAGAGGAAGCAAGATGTATCCTGCCTGGCTGAAAAAGGTACAGAGCCATGTGGCTAACATAGGTAAGAATAATGGACCAATATAAGTTATAAGAGCTAATACGAAGCCTGAGCTAATGGGCCAATCAGTTTATAATCTTATGGAGACCTCTGTGTGATTTTTGGGGGGGCTAAATGGTTGTGGGAACTGGGCAGGAAAGAAACCCCAACAAGCAGGCCCACATGTTACAGAGTAACATGCTGGAACATCACTGGTAAGTCACAGACTCATGGCAATATATAGATAAACAAAAATGGGTTAATTAAATTGTTATAGCTAGTCAGTAATATGCCTGAACCACTGGCCAAACAATTGTAATTGATATTAAGTCTCAGAGTGTTATTTCATAAGCTGCTATGGAGACCACAAGCTGGAAAGAAACCAGTTCAGGGAGACCAATGGAACAGAGAAAAACATTCAACTACATATAATTACCATAGTTTCTTTATCTACTGATCTATGTATGGATAGATGTCTAAGATGGTTCTATTTCTAAGCTACTGTGCATACTACAGCTTTTAACATGGATAATGAGTATATAGGCATATACATAGCTAAGTCATGGTAGTTCTACATCTGTATTGTGTGTGTGCATGGGAGTGCAAGTGCCATGTAGTCTAGATGAGGGTGTCAGAGCCCTTGGAACTAAAATTATAGGCAGTTGTGGACTATCCCATGGGTGCTGGGAACTGAACTCTGGTCCTCTGTAAGGACATTATGTGCTATTAACTGCTGAGTCGTCTGTTCAGATCCTTGGTTAATTTTGTGAGGATTCGTCATACTGACTTCTATAGCCGTGGCAAAATTCTACATTCCATCAAGAGTATATGTAGTTTCAATTCCTTTTTCCCTAAATCCTTGCAGTGCATCTAAAGTCAGCTCTTGCCTTCTTTTCTTTTCTGGTTTTTGTATTATTGTGTCATGTTGAGATAGTGTCTAAATATGTAGCCTTGACTGGCTTAGAACATTCCATGTAGGCCAGGCTAGCCGTGAATTCATGGAAATCCACGAAATTCAGTCTCAGAAGCTCTGGGATTAAAGGTGTTTGCCTCCATGCCTGATTAATCTTTTTGATTGATTGAGAGGAGTTTTTGACTGCTGTGACAAGGAGCTCTAATGGAGTTTTTAATTTGCCTTTACCTATTGTTGGACAGTTTGTGGAATATTGGTGTTAGTCCATCCTTAATAATATGACAGTGAATCCTTTCTAGAGTGGACTTTTCGGTGTATGGAA